TGAAAAGAGACACCGAAGCGGACGAACCCTCGGCAATGAGGGCTGAGTTTGTGATCCTATTGGCCGCCGAAGGTATGACTTGAAGTGAATTATTGTTTATAGAAATGAATGAATAGTTATTTTTGTGACAATTAATGCATTGAAAGGCAAATGGGATGTAAGGCGAGAAAACAGACGGACGGAAGCAGTCGTCGCACACCTCATGGTCACCACAAGTCCCAAGTGAACTCTTCGATACAGAGATGGCAAGAGTATAGACATCGCTTGAAAATGTCTTTTCTCAACGTCTTGTCTATCGATGAGCGGATAGACTGTTGTATGGCTTATGAGTTGGTTTGCATTGAAAACGATTTCGTAATGCATTTATGATTACTATTGATATATTATTTTCAAATGAATTGCATTTAATGTTTGAATGTGTGTTCAGATTAATAAGAAGTGTCCGATTAGTGATGGAAAAGCGTTTGATGACCACATCCGCGATGGCTATGCGATAGCGGCCGACAAATGCAGGCAATCGTCTGATCGACTCGTTAGGGATGGGACGAGAGTCCAGGAGACGTGTAAAGGACTCAATAAGGATGAGTTGTTACCCCGACAGTCACTTCAATTGAGTTGGGACCTACCTTTTGAGTTCAGTGCTATTATAGAGCTATTTTAAGCCATAATACAATTTTATTCTTGATAATAAACATCATATGATATTTGTATCAATTCTTATCAAAAAACTAAATCAATTAGTTAATTGTAAATTCAAAATAAATTTTTATGAATGTTGATTAAAATTTATAGTACTGTAATTGAAATATATGTCAAAATTCTCTCGATAGAAATCTCAAAGTTTTCAAAAAAAGTGTTTAAACGCTTCATGCGAACAGAATATATTATAAGAATTCAATTATATTTATCTGATATCTCATCAAAAAAAACTTTCACAACAGATAAAACCCAATTCAATATACAGTACTATATATTGAATATTTGAAATGAACTTTTCTTTAAGTGATAAATAAAATTCAGTTTTTAATAGAAATATATTTATATATTGGTATAGATATGCAGAATTTATTTAAAGAATAATACATTGACTTTACTTATACTATCAATAAATAAATGTGATCTGCATAGATTCACAATTGTGATCTACCGTACTATACATTTATAGTATTATTCAAAGGATTTAATAATGAAAATTATTTTAATTATTATAACTTTTAAGTGTCAAGTGTTATTTTATAAGTAATTGTGAATTAATTATAAAAAGTAAATTCCTATAGAATATAGCATTTGTGTCATAATATTAGATCCAATTACTATTAGGTATAGTGTATCTTCGATGGGTCGTTCACTTGGGACTTGTGGTGACCATGAGGTGTGCGACGACTGCTTCCGTCCGTCTGTTTTCTCGCCTTACATCCCATTTGCCTTTCAATGCATTAATTGTCACAAAAATAACTATTCATTCATTTCTATAAACAATAATTCTTTTCTACAAACTTTAATCTCTGAAAGGTAACAAAAATTAAAATGAGATATTATATTATAATATCTCGTAAAATTAGGTAATAGTTTAAAATGAATCAAAATATTTATTGATATTAGCATACAGTCAATTAAAAGTAGGTTTTAATACAATACTATAAATAATTTCATATACCGTAATATTGGATTAAATAATACTGTATTTGAAATCATACAAAACAATACAAAAGTAATCGCAAGTAAAGCAATGATGTGTTCATAAGTATTACTGTTAATGGTATTCATCTCTATATGACTCATGAGTATCATTGGATTAAGTGATTCACTGTTCGTTAACCACCGACACCTGTGTCCAGCACTCGAGCGCCGACACTCTGAAGCCAGATATGCGTCGAACAGGACAGCCGTCGATGTAAGCCATCATTTTGCTGTACATATCGTCCAATCGATAGCTTTGGTGGTCATCCGAGTCCACGTCCAGCACTGTGTGGACAGACTATCCCTTAGCTGAGAAGCACTCGACTCTCATGTGTCGCGCCATTCGCTAAATATCTCTCAACTCTTTGTTCAGTTTTCTGGCGAACTCTTTGCACACCTCTTGCAGGCCTTCCGTGTAGTCCAACGAATCCGAGTCAACCGCTTCCGGGTAATAGTCTTTGAGCGCATATATCTGTTTGGTCTTCGCTTTGAAGTGAACGGCACTCCTGTCTATACCCCTGGCCTTATGCCACACTCGATGGCCCTGATAATGGTCCGGGTATTTGGCCCCCAATTCCTTTCTGCTATAGCGACGCAAGTCTTTCATATACTTAACGCTCAACTCGTGTCTAATGGTGCGACCGAACGCTCTCTTGAACCCCTCGACCCCTTCGATGGCCAGCGTCTCGAAGACTGAATCCACCGCCGATTCGGTGGTCAACGCAGTGATGGCGTCGTCTTTGTTGTGATTGCAGGCGATCTTCGCTAAGAACTTGTTATAACTGATTCCCGCCGAACAGATCAGACCAGTGGTCGCCTTAATGTGATTGCGTAACTCAGCCGTAATGACCACCGCTTCGGTCATCGGTAGTGAGCTATCGCTGGACTCGCTTCTATTATGAGCTAAACGGTTGCCACTCTCTGGAGGACTTTGTGACCAACCGTTGCTCACTCCGAGATAAAGTCGACACTCAATCTGGGGATCCATACCTGACTATAAGGGAGGGCTTAACAATCAATACTAAACTAAAAGGGAATAAACAGTGAGGACTGGGCACTCAGGGAACAACTAAAAGGGAACCTAAAAGAATGGGAACAAATGCGAGGACTGGACACTCGGAGGGTAACTAAAGGGGAACCTAAGAAGGGGAGAGAATACGGGCCACTACAGGGCCGGGTCCTCATACAAACGCTTCAGCCGTCTCCCTGCGATCACACTCACCACTTGAGAGGGTATGAAACCAAATGAAGCGTTTAAGAGCACAAACAGGACCGAAGTTTTATTGAGAAAAAGTGATGCCTTTTATACCGGCAGAAAGAGTCAGATATAAAAACATAACTTAAAATCTATTGGTTAAAAACTATACAAATGCAAAACTTATAAATGAAATATGAAAAACCTATGGAAAATAACTATAACTGACAATAGCTGATGATTAGTTATTTTCCACATAATATGCAGTCAACTCTCGTGACACTTCCATAGAGGGGCTGTCGTTGTTGGCCACCAGCACTCCCAACGACATGAGATAATCGTCGTCATAGGGCCGCCCACTGGACACGTATTGGCGGCACTCGTCCGTCAAATCGATGTACAGCTCGTCCTGAGAGCACAGGTCGACAGCGATCTGCTTCTGGTAGCGATCCATGAGATACTGATGGACGGCAGCGGCCAATTGGTCCGACTTGTGGTCGTAGTCGCTCTGCGGGACGTCCGTCATGTCCAGCACCTGTACCTCCGGACACAGCCTCTTGGCTTCCCTCACGTTCTGCTGCTGTCGTACGCCATACCTCTTGGCCCGTCTGTTGGCCGTCTGATGGTGTATTTGTTTCGGGCGGCGGTCGCCACCCCTCGCCTTAAGCCCGGGTCCCGAAGTAGAGCCAACTGTACGCCGAAGTGGTCGACGTCGAGGTATGCGATCACTCGAGTCGTGTCCAACCGGTCGTCCGCACAGACATTCATCGCATACACACACACTCTGCCCACAGCTCTCTCTCTCTCTCTCTCTCTCTCTCTCTCTCTTTCCCTATGGGTGGACTCGGATCTGTTGGAAGTAATAGTAATGCGATAAATGGCTTAACAATGACTCAAATATCAACAAAACTAACCAAAACTCAAGAGTTGTGATCAAATGTTGTCTCACTGTCCAGTTGTCACGTGACTGCACCCCCGACTCATTGAGTGCACGACCCCCTCAGGCGCTACTGTGCTGTACTGTATTTAATATGCATGACTCCCCCGGATATACCCCTCCCCATAAACCATACACTGTTTGTGTGAAAGCGTGGATTTCGTCATTGAAAACGAAAAACGTGAAAAACATTCAAAACAGTATTGCATTGAATTATAGATGGCTTTACTGTAAAGCCTTTGATCAACAGTTGGAGTCCAACATAAAGGGGTACAGAATATTGATATTACGGTAATACTGTAGTATTGTTTGCATTGATTGACAGGTTATTACAGTATTATTTTAGTAAGGAATCTCATTAAATGTTTTATTGTACCTGTATTTCAAATGCAATCACTTATTAAATGCAAATTAATTTTATTTAATTCGTTAGAAAATAATTTTTTATCAAAATTGCGATATTTATCGAGAGATCAAAAAAGTATCATTCAATGCATTATCATTGGTTAGCAAAACTTAAAGTCTTAATTAATACAAACATAATAATTATTGTTAAGCAATTTCCAAATGTATCATAATTTGAGAGCCAATTAACAAATTAGATAATTAAACATTAATTAAACATAATTTGACACAAAAAACAAAAATTTGATATAAATAAATATGAATTGACACGATTATCCCTCAGCCTCGGCTCTACCGATGAACTGGTAGAGCTGGCCGTCATCCACATCAGTCGTCAAACATACGGCCGCACAGCAGTGTATAGGGCTGGGAGGGCTGGGCTCATACATGTTGAGCGCCGACACTCGGAATCCAGAGATCTTTGAGTTGAATCCATTGGTTTCGATGCATTGCTTCACTTTGTCGTACATATCGTGCAAATCATGCTGTGGTGGTCATCCATATGAACGACTCCACTCGAGTAGTGACCCATTCGTGAGAAACACTCCACTCGTATGCGTCCACACATTCGCCCATTACTTTTGGACTCCCGGTTCAGTCTTCTGATGAACTCTTTGCACGAAAAGTGTAGATCTTTGCCCTGACGTCTGTTCAGTGGTTTGGAGTCCTTCACATTCGGGTAAATCTTAATGACTGACACCTATTTGGGCTCCAGTTTGTGGTAAACAGGAGTGCCGTCTAAACCGCGTGCCCTCTCCCACACCATTATGCCCCGATTGCGGCCGTAAACCACAACTCATTGCAAGACATCTGAAGACATCACCGAAACATGAATCCAATGAAACCATTGCTCGCGTCCTCTGCGTTACCACTCATCTCACGACTCATCCCAATTGTGTGTCGACTGTCGACAGTCAGTAACAAACGGATCACTCGTATGGCGAGTGATCTGGAAGTGTCTGAAAGCGAACTCCACAGCAATGGTAACGAATCGGTGGTTAAGACACGACTCGTGAATAGGAATCCAAGAAATTTGGAACAACTTCTGTTCGATAAGAAGCCATTGGGTTATGAACTGGATTTGTCTCAAAGAACCTTCTGGAACAAGTCGGTCATCACTGTATGGCTACTCTAATGAATGGCTAATTGTCTGCCATTTCTATGTCTTAAGGATTGTCTTCTCGAGCGGCGGCAAACACTTGACGGCAAAGATTGTCCACAACTCGGGACGCGTTGTCGTCAGCGCCGGTACTCGCGAGACAGCCGTTGGACAGCAGCTCAAGAGGTATGAGATTTGGTGTCCAATGAGAGCCATAATGAATGTCTTAATGACATAATGAGTGATGTTTTGGTCCAACAGTTCCAGTGGTGTGTCTGCGGCCACGAGTTTAGGACATGTGTTGGCGTTGAGGGCCATTGAGAGCGGTATTCTTGAGCTGTTTGTCGGCATTGAGTACGAGTCCAACCAATCACTCAAAGTATGCGTCAATTGATTGTCACTTCATTTGATCCGTTGTTTCATTGATATCTCCACTGAAACCACAGGTGAAGGCGTTTCTCAGCGCTCTTAAGGCGAATGGACTCGTATTGTCTGAACAGCCGTTTGTTTTCGAGAGACAGCGAAGGGATCACTAGTTTAGACACTCTTTCGAGCCATCATTCAAACAAATGCTGTTTTTCTAATCAATTTTGTCGTTAATTAGTCTATTAATTACATATTATTTTAAGTTTATGAGTAATTTGTTGATATATTTTAAGCGATGATTTCGTACATTTGTTGTACAATATTATTGTATATCATTTGTAAGTTTAAAATTTAATTCACATTTAATTCTTTTTATTTTAAATATTTATATAATACCAGTATACTCATACATTCCATAGTCCTAACCGTATGGGTATTTCAGTGAAGTATCCTTTGAGTTGTAACACCTTTAAAAGGACTAGAAATCAGTTTGAGTAAAAGGTTTCATCAAAAGCACATGTCAGGACTTGCATCAAGGCGTTTAATTTTAGTGCCCATAAATCAAAATATTCAAAATGCTGCCATTTCTTTAATAATTGGAATATTTGAAAAATTCTTTCACATAAATTATTTGTACCGTTGGTAACATATATTGGCATAATAAAATCAAATATTTAATAAATGGTCAAATGTGCTATATCAATTTTATAGAGAATTA